AAAAAAAAAAAACTAAACACTCCTCCACTTCTGGGAATCACAAGTACCTGTAGGGTCTTCTTGCCCCCTCCCTACTAATACCAAGCAGCGGTAAGCACCACTCTCCTCGTCGAGCACTGTCAGACAACCCCCAGTGACGGGCAGGGAGGTCTAACGTGGCTTCCTCAAGGCCTCACGGCGAGGAAACGTGCCGCCTGAATCCTGGGGCTTTGGGGACGGATGTAACGCAGTAGCCCCTGGTCCGCGCCCTCCAGAATGGTCTACACCAGCATCATTGCCCGGCTACGCTGCGTGTCCGGAGGTGCAAGGTACTCTCAAGGCCGTCCTACATCTGGCGCGGCACCCTTCCCGGCCCGGTCCTCACCATGGTCCCGAGCTGCTCCCGCGGTGGCTTGGAATGGATGTGGGCACGCGGCACGGGGAGCCTCCGGGCCGGGCCTGTCAAACCCTTCAGCAACCCCGGCGTCAAAAACGACATGACTGTACAAACTACACAGCCAGCCCGAGCCCAAGGTCAGGAAGGCAAGATGTCTGAGCTCGCCGGAAGTTCTGGAGCTGAGAAGGCGGGAAGTCTCTCGGAAATGACGCAAGGGTTCGTCTCTGGCCCGCCCCTGGCGGGTTTCGGCGCGTTCTTCAAAACAGCCAATCGAAGCCGTCCTACCTCCCCGCTCCTGAGCGGAGCCTTTTGTTTATGTTCCGCCTTCAAGACTTCTTCGTGAGTGACATCTATGTCCATCCATCATATAAGGGTTGTTTCTCTTCCCTCCATTCATACTCGTAAACCTCTCCTAAATCTACCAGTCCATCGTTTCTGGCCTGAACTGTTGGGTCTAACCTCATAAGTGAGTTCCCTTCACTTGTTACACCCTCTCCAATCCCGGTCTCCATGGTTGGCAGCCAACTTCCGTTTCTCCTTCCCTCCCTTTTTTTGGGGGGAGGGTACCTGGGATTAATCTCGGGACCTTGCAATCACTCCCTTCTTACCCTTTTTTTTTTTGAGACAAGGTTTCGCTTTGCGGCCCAGGCTGGCCTGGAACTCAGAGCTATCCTCCTGCCTTGCCTCTTGAGCCCTGGAGTTACAGGCGTGTGCCAGCATGCCCAGCTTTTTCCTATCCTCCTTTATCACCTCTCTCCTCCCTTCTTTATCCATTTCTCCCTCCAGCCCATCTTGCTTTTCTAACCACAAGTCTGATCTAATTAGTCAGGGGCTCTCCATTGCTTTCTACATAAGTTCCAATGCCTGGATATCACTCTCCAGCTGGAATTGGAGGGAACAGCTCTGAAGAGCTGGTTGACCTGCTCAAGGTCATATACCCAAAGGCTGCCAAACTGATTCCAGGGCAAGTCTGTCAAAAAACTTTTTTCTTTCAGGGCTAAGGATCAACCTCAGGGCCTCCAGGACTCTAGGCAGGTGCTGTACACTAAAGTATGCTCCAGCCTAATATCCATGCTTTCAACCACCACAGAAGATGTTTCCAGAAGCTCCAATTTTTGTTTTTTGAGACAGGGTCTCGCTATTTACAGTAGTTCAGGCTGGCCTCAAAATTATAGCAATCCTCCTACCTCAGTCTCACAAATGCTGGGATTACAGATGTGTGCACCACCATCCCTAGCCAGAAGTCAAAGGCTGCAGCAAGGATGTGTGATGGCAACAGATTGGGAAATAGGGGCTTTGACAGGGAAACCTCAGCACGAGGGCTAGGTCACAGAGAGGTGGCCATGGACCCAAGTGCCATAAGGGGAGCCTCAAGCTAACCTGGGTCCCTCTTCACCCCTCTCCCACCTCCTCTACCCCATTTGGAAGTTTTGTTTTTGTGGTACCAGGGATGGAACTCATGACCTTGCGCTTGCAAGGGAGTGGAAGTACTTTTGATGTCTAGCAGTCTTAACAAGGCCCACCCTCAGCCAGGAGGCCCCATGCCTTTGTTGCCCTGGACCCTGGCAAACAGCCCGGAACAGATGCGTCAAATCCTCTCCCTAATCCTTAGGGGCACAGTATTGGGAAGCAGGTGCCAGCTGCCTGCCCCTGGGAGAAGGAAGGTGTGAGGATCTGCTGTTGCCCAGCTGGGTTTGTCTGATGCCTTGAAATAAAGGAATCACTCCCAGGAGACATCAATTTAGACATTTGGCTTGGCTATACTTTAGAAAGAATTGCTTAGGGAATTTCCTTTTAGGCCAGAAGAGTTCAGGACAGGACTGTAGGGAAAAGATCTAAATCTAACATTGACTGGCTGGGTGACCTTGAGAATATCCCTTTCCCTATCTACAAAATGAGGGTATTAATGAAAAGACCAGCAAGAGAAACTGGAGGAAAGCATGGTGGGAATTGGGCATGGTGGCACTCTCCTGTAATTCCAGAACATGTGGAGGCTGAAGCAAGAGGGTCCCAAGTTCAACCTTAGCTAGCAGAAGCAACTTAGTGAGACCTTGTCTCACCTAATAAAAACAAAGCTGCGGGGGCGCTGAGGATGTTGCTCAGAGTGAAGGCCATGCACTCAATCCCCAGTCTCACTCACTCACACACACACACACACACACACAAACACAAAGGCTAGTTTGGGAAACTCAAGCTGGCACAAAACGCAGGATCCTGATGGGGTGTTTGCCCTTCCCAGGGCACAGCAGCTGTCACCAGGCGCCAGTCGCCCAGGGGTAACCAGGAGACAGCTGTCAGGAAAAGAGCAATATGGGAGGTGTTGGGACGGGGTGGGTGAGGTGCTATCCCCACAGGCCCAGCTGTCAAGCTGGCAGCCACAGAATGGCATGGCCACTTGGGGCTTAAAAATGGGGGTTGGGGCCACCCACTGAGTCTGCAGTGGCTAACTCCTTCCAGCCCACAACCACCTGCCAGCTGCGATGAGGCCGAAATCACCTCACATATGGCAATGGTCCCTGCCTGATGAAGGATGACTTCTCAGGCAACCAGGAATCTCCAATGAGGACTGGCCCCCCAGGTACACCCTACCTAGGTGTAACCACACATCCAAACCTGCCTCCTGTGCCCCCAGCCTCAATACAAGTCCAAGTCCTGATAACCTGCCTTTAGACTTCTGATCGCTTCAGATCCCCCAGTCCAGGGCAGAGTCCTTTTACACAGGCTCTTCCTACACAGTCCAAACTGGCCTTGAACTCACCACATAGCCCAGGATGACCTCAAGCTCTTGAGCCTCCTGAGTGCTGAGATTACAGGTGTAAGCCTCTATGCCCACCTCTCCACTTGATTGTTCCGAGACCTGGTCTTCCTACCACCAAATTTAGAAGACCCTAATGCTCTAACTTTATACCCTACTCAGCCCTGAATCACCCGGTACTCTACAAAGACTCCACCTTTCCCTACACCTGAAGCCAACTTTTAGCACATGGGGCCATCACATAAGTTACTCCAAATTCCAGGTCCGAGGGCCCTATGTAACCCACCCGCCAGGAACTGAGACTCCAGGACAGCATCACCCACAAGCCCTGCCATACGGGCTATATGTCCCCCTACACCACTCAGCATAGTGACCCAGCAGGTGGAGACACTAGTGCGACAATTCCCTTGTTATAGTTGAAGGGGGCCAGAGACACCATGCCATCACTCCAGGTAACTCTGCAACAGTATCTACTTGTGCCAGAGCAGGGCTGTGGCAGGGCAGGACCTGGGAACCTGCCCCGTCATTCTCAGATTCTGGAAGCAATCCCCCAGGGCCACTACACCTGGCTCCAGGTCTGTGTCAGCACTTGGCTCCTGGCTGTCACCTCTGTCTACTAGCAAATACCCCTTTCCCTCAGGAGGTGCAGGCCCTTGTCAGCCTGGTCCGTTCCTCAGGGCTTTTTCCCTCCACTCACCTTCAGAGCTGCCCCATTCTACAACACTGCTGGTCCATAGCAAATCTTCCTTCATCTTAATGTAATTAAGACCCCACAGCAGAGATCCCAAAGCCAACACAGGCTTAAAGGTTTCTCTTACCCACTTAAGCAAAGGCAGAATTTAGAAATGTCAATGGACTTCACAACAACCAACATCCTGCTGAGGGCACCATCAGCTCTCAAGCCTTGCTCCCAGCTCTGTGGAAATGGAGGCGCTGCCTCTGTTGGGAGGCACTCTGGAGAGGGAAAGGGCTTTGGTCAGGCAGCTGCTGTCTTACCAATCTCCTAAATTGCAAGTTATTTCAAATGTGGGCCCCTTCCCCTCACTTCAAATCCTGGCTCTGCCACTCACTACTGGGACTTCCCCCTCTTATCTTTACACTGAGAGCAGCACCGGTGCCCATGGGACAGGCAAGTTAGCATTCCAGAGCCCAGTACAGAACACACCAAGGATATGAGCCACTGCTGTTTTGAGACAAAGCCTCACTATGTAGTACAGGGTGGCCTCAGACTCATGATCCTTCTGCCTCTCGAGGGCTGGGACAACAGGCATTTGCCACCACACCCAACAAACAGTCTTTTAAAGAATATTATGAAATAAACCCAACAGAAGGGAAGAAACTCATCTATTCAATTCCCACATGGGGACTGGAATTTATATTTAGCAGCAAATGGCAAATGTCACAATACCGGGCTTGGGACTTGCTTCAGGATGCAGAGCAGAGGGCCCTTGGGAGAGTATCTTTGACCTCTACCCTTAACTTCTGGGAAATAGCCACACACACACACACACACACACACACACACACACACACACACACACACACACACTGCATCTGAATCCCACCTGGCTGCTCACCTCACATCCTGAGACTTCCTTCATAGGAAGGGGTGTGAGGCCAGCACACAGCCCACTGCCTCGCAGCCTTTAGGCACAAGGCTTGCTGCCCATGGTACCCCAGCAGCTGAACAAAGTGTCTTTTGCGATGTAGAAATACAACCAATCCAAAAAGAGATCACCTTTTCCCTTTGATTCCAATGAGAATGAGTGGTTGAAGAAAAAACGTATGTATCACAAGAAATTTATCTTCCAAATTTTCTCTTTAAAAGGCAGTTGGGGGGAGGGTAAAAACAACCATACACATGTCATATATGTACTTTTTTTTTTTTAAGTTTTTTGAGACAGGGTCTTGCTATGTAGCCCAGGATGGCCTCAAACTCACAGCGATGCTACCTCAGCCTCCAGAGTGCTGAGATTACAGGCATGTGCTACCATGCCCAGCCAGTCATAGGACACACTTGATACCAACTAAAAAAACTTGAAATAAGAAGAATAGAACTAGGAAAAAAAATCTTTTTTTTTAACATGCCCCCAAACAAAAACGAAAAAAGTCTGGTATAAAAAGTCATTTCTCAAAACCAAGACCCAGAGATGAAGAAGACTGACTTTTGACTAGCTAGTAGGCTCAAGAGCCACAAGATGGCCAGCTGGTCTCAATCAGCACTCCTCCCACCAAACTGTGACCTCCTGAATAGCCCTTCAGGAAAGGTGGCTTTTGAAGGCTAGAGGAGCAAGGCGTGGCACCCAGGACCCCATCCACCAATGGGCTTGGGGCTAGGTGTCCAACAACTGGAAAGAGAAAACACACACTGAACTCACGTTACATGGGATTTACACAGGGTTCCTTTTGATCCCCTTAAGTGGGAGGTATCAGAAATCCACGATCTAAAACAATAAATATTTATCATTCTTGTGTTGAGATGGGGATAGAGGAAAAACTCTTCTAAACATGCGTCTGTTGTTTTATGATTTTTGGAAGGAGTCTACCAATCCCCTCCCAGCAACTCCATCTCTCACCAAAGGTAAAAACTCAGGCGCCAAAAGGTGAGGCAAAATTAAACTTACTCCAGTGTAAAGCTGTAAGGCCCTCTCCAACAAGTGCCCAACCCCACTGCTGATAGACTCAAGAGCAATGCAAGGTGCTCAGTGGAGGTCAGACTGTGTAAGAGAGGCTCCTGCACAGGCAGGAATCTAGGTGAGAAGCAAGGACCACTCTAGAGAGCTCTGCCAGGACAAATTGCCTGAGTTGGGCCAGAGGGTAGGGAGCAGGCTCTGAGGTCAGGGCACCAACAGACCCCATGAGAGCAACTGTACAAGGGTGAAAATCTTCACAACATTCCCTGAAACAGCTCAGGGATGTCTAAGGGGAAGTGTAAGGTGCTTTCACCTAGATAAGGGTTTAGTTTTTCTTCCTTGAAAGAGGAACAAGGGCTATAGATCAGGATGAAAATAAATTCTGAGCCCACACCCTCTTCACTCTCTGAGAGGAGAAAGGCCATCTCTTTCCCCTGCTCCAGCCTGCTGCCATAGGGTGATACCAGAGAAAGAGAACAGCAGCTGTTTGGGCCACTGACAGGCATTCTTCCTCAAGCCTAAACTGTGGCTCAAATGGGCCAGGACAGTGGCACCAGTGCCTCATTGAGGCTGCAAAGGGCAAGGCTGGGGATTGCAGGCAGAAGAGCCTGCTGCTGGCTGGGGGCTCTCTGAAGAGGCACGGTGGTAGGAGAGTCACTCCACCTTCAGAGAACTATCAGCACCAAAACAGTGAGAGGAAATGGCATTAACTGTACCGGGAACAGTGGGTTCTTCAGGGGAAGAAGAGGGCTTCCCTGATGTTACTCCCCCCAAGACTAAGAACAGAGGTATCTAGAGTGGAAGCAAGAGGCTGAGGAGGCCCCCATTGTGGTGGGGGCAATGGAGAGGAACAGACAGGACCTCTGGCTTTCTTGTTGAGTGAAAAGCTTGAGTCACTACCATGAGATCCAGAGGTTAAGCTGAGAGTGCAGCAAAGTCCAAATGCCCAGAGAAGCAGTCATCTCCACTACAAGCCCCTTATTACATCTGTTCCTCATCCTTTTAGCCCTTCTCTCACTGATAGCAATGGAGAGAGGCAGCCTTTCCCTCAGAGTTGGCCAGTCCCCTGAGACGACTCCACTCTATGTATCCATAGAAACACAGCTAGAAAGAGCTTCTCTGTATCCTGGTGTCAAAGGCTTACATGGTCTCCATGACAGTACTCCATCCACAAGAGTGAGTTTCCCCAAAGCCTCACTCTGTGCCCAGATCTTAAGAGTCCAATCCTCTTTGGGGACCAACACAGTCCAGATCGAGACTCCAGGACTTTGACAAAGGTGAATATAAACATTCCATTTGTCCAAGGTGGGGGTCGGGGAGCCTGTCGGGAATCCAGCTGCAGAGAATTGGAGGAACTTTCACTTGAGGGCCTAAGGGCCAAGCGAGGAGACAGTTCCTGTGAGGATGAGCTTCTCGGTGCAGGCTCCATCAACTCTTCCTGTAGCACCCTCTTCTCTGCACTCATTCCTGGTACTGTGCTCTTCCAGGAAAGAGGGGTGGTGTAGATTACTCCTCCCCAGGATTCTGAGCTCTCAGGATGCCACCTGGCACATGCAAGGCTAAGGAGACCACAGCTCTGAGAGCACCTGACAGGTAGTGTAAGACCAAAGTAGAGGACAGGCCTTAAGAGAGAGTTCCAACTTGCAAATGGCTCTAACAGGTCAGTGGCAGCAGCCACCGCAGTGCCCGCCTGTATGGGAGTGCTGGCTGTCCCCAAACTTGGTCTTCCGGCTCAGGATCTCATAGGAGCAGTCCTCCCCACAGCAACCAGACATGCTGGGGGAAGAGTCATCAATTTCAAATCTGCAAGGCAGGCAGGAAAAAAGGGTTGGTCACAGGCAGCTGAATGCTTTCCCGATGGTCTGAAAACTTCCAATAGCTACACTGATGGGATGACGGCAAGGGAATCAAGTTAGAGGATGCTACCATACCATCACACCAATCCCAAATTCCACTGAACACTGGACTGTGAGCTCAGGTACCGAGATGAATGAGGGCCATAACCAGGTAGGGTAACACCTCCTACCACCCAGAAAAACCAGACCAGAGATCAGCTCCTTACTGCAGCGCTTCTCGGAAGAACTGATAGGCACCATGATTGTGCTTAAATACCGTTAGCATCACTTTCTTCATCTGTGTGCTAAAAGAAAGCAGAGCATCTTTTAGAAAGAGAAGCAAAGAATGAGGCTATGTGTCCTCTCCCTCCTGTCTCTGCCAGTACTTCTCATGCACCTCAAGTGGTGTTCCCAAGTCCCTCTTCTAGACTGCCAAGGCTTTAGGCACCAAATTGCTCAGGGCTTCCCATCATCACAGGCTAGTCTCGCTGCTTGTGCATCAGGGAGCTTCTCCACCTCCTTTCTGTAGATCTTTTACTTAGGTACAGTGGATTCCTCAGAGGCAACTCCCTGTGAGTGAGCACTGCACGCACAAGGCCTGAAGCAGCCCTTACCTGTTAGCCATGAGCTGCAGGATCTGTATGAGGAACTTCCCCAGGCCTTTCCGCCGCACTTTGCTTTCCAACTGCACTTCATAGCTGGGTAAAGAAAGCAAGATAGTGAGAGTGCAGGGTGGGGCACAGAAAGGCTACAAAGCCCAGCAGAGGAGACCACAGCTCCTGGCAGCCCAAAGACCCAGACAGGCACAGTCAGCTGTCATCTGTTCTCCCTCCCCTTCAGCTCATCCCAAGCTGAGGCTCCTACCAGTAGAGGACTTCATCCCCGCACTCCACATCAAACCGGAAGTGAGAAAAGGCAACAGGAACACAACTGTTTTCCCAAGCGATAAGGTACCAAGCTCGATCATCTGTCATTTCCTCCCGTTTCTCTCGGTCTTTCCAGCCCCACTCACTTTGCTCATACCTGGGGAATTTGAGGGCAGTCAGAACAGGGAAACCTCAAAGGACTGAAAACCAGCTGGTGAACCAGGCTTCCTTCTTGTTCCCCTTTGGTCCAGCCATGCTTACATGATTTGCATATTCGTTTTGGTCAGGTCAAAGGCCCAATCCACAGTGGCTGGCTCCAGTCCAGACACTCGCTTACATTCAATGGAGACATTCAACCTAAGAAGAGGACAGGGAGGCTTAAGAAGCAGGAAGTGAGGTGGGGATTTTTAGCTCTGTGGTGCTGTGCCTGCCTGGCAATCGTAAGGCCCTAAATTTGATCCCCAGTATAAAAAAACAAAACAAAACCCAGCCTTCCCAGACAAGACTGGAGAAGGTGCCTGTGAAGAAACTGATCCTTTTGCAGTGAAATTAACAAATGTCATCACCTGTCCCAACACAGTAGCTACTGAGCCCATGTCCTGCCTTTCTTATGCTGTCTGTACCAGATTCAGCAGTTCTGACAATTTGTCTTCTCTACCACCTCTTTGTCCTTTTTGTACATGTTCAGTCCTTTCTGTATTTTGCTATAAACACTTTTTTTTTGTGGTACTGGGGATCGAACTTGGGTCCTTGTGCTTGCAAGGCAAGCAGCAAAACCACTGAGCTAAATCCCCAGCCCTTGTTATAAACACTTCTGTCTTTCTTGTTTCTTAGTTCCTGCTCTTAGGCATTTTCTGTCATTTTAATTTCTGAATTTAAGAGTCCAGAGTGCTAACAACTACACCATGGAATACCACTGGTGCTTCCATTTCTGTGCTGTCACCCCTCCTTCCCCCACTTCTTCCTTCTTATCTACCAATCTTGCCTTCAAAACAGGCTGGGTGGAGTTGTGGATATAGCTCAGTCACAAGCGCAAGGTCCTTAGTTCAGTCACTAGTACCCACCCTTTCAAAAGAAAACAAAACCAAACTCAGGCTCTTTAAGATTACAGCTCAGGGCTGGGGATTTTGCTCAGTGGTGCCACTACCTGCCTCGAAAGCTCAAGGTCCAGAGTTCGACCCCTGGTAATCTCCCCTACCCGCAAAAAAGACCACAGCTCAGGGATGGGAGTATAGCTCAGTAGTAGAGTATGTACCCAGCATGCACAAAGCCTGAAATGTAAAAAATAAATAAATAAATACAAACCTGGGCATGATGGAACATACTTATAATCCCAGCACCTGGGAGGCTAAAGCAGGAGGATCACTGAGTTCAAGGTCAGCCAGAGCTACATTGCGAGTTCAAGGCCAGCCTGAACTACATAGCAAGACACTGTTTAAAAAAAAAAAAAAAAAAAAAAAAAAAAAGCTGGGCGTGGTGGCACATGCCTATAATCCCAGCACTTGGGAGGCTGAGGCAGGAGGATTGCTGTTGAGTTGGAGACCAGCCTGGGCTACATAGTAAGTTCCACGTCAGACTCGACTACATAGTGAGACCCTGTCTCAAAAAACAAACAAACAAGCAAAAAAACCACACTCAAAAAAACCCAAAATCAAAACAAGAGAAAAAAGCAAGCCAAAAATAAACAGACAAACAACAACAACAAAATCCACACATCAACCTCCCCAGAAGTCCCACCTTCCTCCTCCTCTCAGGACTCAATGGGTACTCTAAGCTCATTAAATAACGTGAAACAGGGTCTAACCCACCACTGTTTTCCTGAACAAATACATATTTAGACATCTACTTCTAAAGGAAATTTAAGTGAGATACACTTAAACTCAATCCAATTTGTGAAATGATTCTCTGAGCAGCACCACATTCAGAAAGGAGTGAAGTCAGCAAATGCTGAGCCTCTGAAGAGCTCCCATATCTCTTAGTGGCCTTTGATGTCACCCTCAGAGGATGTTTCCAGTGGAATCCGCTGTCATCTCTGCTGACTGGCACATCATTCAATCTCATATGCTCATTCTTGTAAACGGAAAATTTCCTGTCCCAGAAGAACCTGACTTTACAAGCTCTAAGCACATGGAAAGCAGAACTGCCCAAATACAGGGCTGTATCTGTCTTAGCTATAAAAGGCCCAAAGGCTGGTCTATAGGTAAAATTTCTCCACTCACTTATGTTCTTTAAGTATGTAAAGAACTCACAGCCCCAACAATCATGAAAAAAGGTAAAGAAGGAGCCTAGCTGATTGGTAAGAGCTGCTTCTGAGCTCTCCCATGTATCTGGGAGTCAGCTGGAAAGCAGCTCATGGATATACTAAGAGAGATCACAGGAGGCGATCTCTAAACCATGTGAAAGGACTTTCCAAGAGTTGAATGACAAAGCTACTACAGGAACTGTAACATGTATGATTACAGTCAGAAAGACATAAGTGAATGTGATACTATAAAATTCAGACTCAGCTATTAAAGGCAAATGAAGCACTATGTGCTTTATATTTCACATATCTGTGTTTTTTATCTTACTCATTAAAATATTCATATCAGCTGCTACTTTCTGTGCTGGATATATTCTCTTTCTTCCTTAAAACTGCAAAGATGGGCCAGGCATGGTGGTGCACATCTGTAACTCTAGCACTCTGGGAGGCTAAAACAAAAGGATCCCAAGACCCAGTCTCATAATAAAAATTAATTTTAAAAAATCTGAGCTGAGCATAGTGGCCAGTCCCTGTAATCTCAGAATTTAGGAGGCTGAGGTAGGAGAACTGTGGCAAGTTCAAAGCCAGCCTAGGATAGTGAGTTCAAGACCAGTTTGAACTACAGAGCAAGATCCTATCTCAAAAAACAAAAAAAAAAAAAAAAAAAAAAAGGGTCTGGTCTGGGATGTAGCTTTGTGCAAAGGATCTGGTTTCAATCCCCAGTACCAAAGTACCAAAAACAAAACCCTCAATTCCAAGTCTGACACCAACCCTTCCACCCCAGCTCAGTACTGGGGATTAAACCTAAGACCTTCATACTGAGGTACATTCCCAGAATGATCGATCAACCGATCTTTCTTTCTTTCTTTCTGTACTGGGGATCGATATTTATTTATTTTGGTACCAGGGATCAAACTCTGGACCTTGTGCTTGCGAGGAAAGTGGCAGCACCACTGAGCTAAATCCCCAGTGTTTTTTATTTTTTTAAGAGTATGATAAAATTATTGAGAGAAAAATAGCTTCTAAGAGAAACAGAAGGGGGACTGGAAAATAAGTTACCCCTATTTATTTTATTTTTTGAGACAAGGTCTTACTATGTAGCCCAGGCTGGCCTTCAACATGCAGCAATCCTTCTGCATCAGCCTCCCAAGTGCAAGGATTACAGATGTGCGCCACCACAGCGGGTCTCATCATCATACCTTACAGATGAGAAAATTATATTTAGCCAGGCACAGTGGTGCAAGTGCAAGGACACTGAAAGTTCAAGGCCAGCTTGGACAACTTAGTCTCAAAATAGGCAGTATATCACTTCACTAGCATGTGCACTCAATCCTCAGTACCAAGTTGGGTGTGGTGGTGCACACTTGTAATCCCAGCACTCAGGAAGCTGATGTAGGAGGATTGCTGCCAGTTCGAGGCCAACCTGGGATATATATATAGTGAGTTTGAGGCCAACCTGGACTACATAGTGAGACACCATCTCAAAAAAATAAAAAAGTGAAACACAACAAAATGTCCCCAGCACCATACACAAAAATGAGAGCAAAGTGAGGTTTAAGGAATGTAATTTATCCAAGTAGAGTTAATACGAGACCCAACAGCAATCCAACTTATAATCCAGAGAAGCCCTAAGCCCCATATTTCTCCAAGCTGAAATGTTACATTACAGGAACTCAACTCAGGTAACACAGAATATGCTTCCTGCTTTATAAACCAATAGGACAGAAAAGGAGAGAATTTTAATCCAAATGCTATGGTAATCTGGATCAGTAATCACCAAAGCTATTACTTATGGCTAGCTTTCAATATGCTCTAGTAACGTGAGCTTGGCATGGTGATGCACACCTGAAGGCTGGGATTATAGGTGTGCATTACCATACCGCAGTTTCTGCTTTTTTCATAATAAAGCAGGAGAAAATTTGGGTTTGAAGAAGTCCACTCCGGAAAATTAAATCTTTTTGTTTTTGTTTTTTTTTTTGGTAGCAGGGATCATACTCGTGGACCTTATGCATGCAAGGCAGGTGGCAGTGCCACTGAGCTAAATCCCTGGCTCTGGAAAAGTAAATTTCTGAGAACACCAAAGAAGACAAGCACTAAGAATGCTCGGGGCGGGGGCAGGGATTTAGTTCAGTGGTGCCACCACCTGCCTCCCAAGCACAAGGTCCCAAGTTCCATCCCCGGTATCAAAAAAAGAAGAAAAAAAAATTCTCTGGGGCTGGGGATTTAGCTCAGTGGTGCCACCGCCTGCCTTTCAAGCCCAAGTTCCTGAGTTCAATCCCCAGTACAGGGGAAAAAAAAAAAGAATGCTCAATACAGCACTCAGGAGACTAGGGTAACAAAGATCACAAGTTCAAGGCTGGCCTGGACTATATACGGAGACCCTGTTTCAAAACACTGAGAAAAAATAAAGAATGTTTAATATCACTCACCCATTTCGGTCATATTTCTTAAATACTGGGAAAGCCTCGAGAGGGTCTCCAAGCTGGGAAAGAAAAAGAGTAACAAAGATAGGTGATCAAAAATTGTTGGCTCTGCCCAAGAGCCCTGATGTCTAGGAACAGGACACTGTAAGGACTCACAATAAGAGGCCCTAGAAACAGCCCTCACAGGGCCTTCCATCTGCCTCAGCTCTGAAATCACAGATGTGGGAGGCTTTAATGAGGAAGCCCAAGAGAATTAAGTTTAGATTCATTTGATGGGGCAAGAACAGATTTTACTAGTCTATGGGTACAATACTTGCTGACAATGCAACTAACCCAAAGAGGCCACATGGTCCCTTTTAGCACATCTGGAAAGAAACCTTCAATTAGTTTCACCTGCTCAAAACCTCAACAGAAAATCATGTCCCTAAGCTGCATCTTTACAGATGTGGAGCATTTACTAAGACTGAGCTAAAAGAATAACAAAAAGTGAGATAAGGAACGAGGGCAAGAAGGATGGCTATAATTTCTCTGGTTCAGTTTGAAAGCCAAGGCCCAGTCTGTTCCCAGTTCACCCATCTGGTGTCAATTCACAGCTCCTCTGTCCTTGACCACAATCCTTGAGACCGGGCCATGATACCTTCTCATTCCCAGCATAGCTTTCAGTATTTCATGGGTAATCTATAAAAGGAGTAAAAGAAACTAAACATTTTGTCAGAGATGTTTCCTCCCCCAAACTCAAACCCATAACAAGAAATTTCTCCGTGTTCTCTATTATCAGTAAGAGAAGCACTTCTGCTGGAAGCCACATTTCCTTGAACACCTGGGTGAACAGCTGGCACCTCCTCCCAACCTTTCCTGTACTGTAAGCCACAAGAGGCCTGGGTAGGTAGTGTCACAATTCTGCCACAGGGTGGAGCCAAAAGAAATCAAATTAAAAACCAAGTTGAGGTTCCAAGAAGCAGGGACTGGAAAGCAGAGTCACCCTGTTGGCAGCATCCACTTTGGCACAGACGGCATCCATGGCTGCACGTTCTTCCAACCGCTTCTGCTTCTTCTCCTTTGCTTTGCTCGACTTTCTCTGCAATAGGGAAAAATAACACTGGCAGGAAGGGCTCTGGTGTGCCAAAGTCTTGACTTTCTCTTTGAGGAATTGAGGAGGCCCAGCAACCAAACGTCTGACCCATCCAGGCTGCCACAAATACAGTGTGTACTATGCAGGGACACTGTTTCCCGTGTTATGAGTTTTCCTGAGTCTCACTAGATTTCTCAGCTTTCTTTCAGGAAGAATCCTAATCCTGGGGCTGGGAATTTAGCTCAGTGGCACCATGCCTGCCTCCCAAGTGCAAGGTCCTGAGTTCAACACCACCCCCACACCATACCAAAAAAAAAAAAAAAAAAAAAAAAAAA